GCACTGTAGACCCCCCAAAAAAAAAAAATTTTGGGCACTTGTAACACGTCAAGCCCGTCCCCCGGTTTAGGAGGGGGTAATTTGTTTTTAAAATCACTCATTCCTCACCGCCCCACCCGCACCCCCTAAGAACTGTCAACCTTTAAAGTTTTATCGATAAAATTAAAAAGAAAGAAGAAAAAAAAAAAAAATTGGAATTAAATAATAATTTGATGTTTTGTAATTTAACTAAACGCTGTGTCTAGCGCAACAGTACTGTTGCTTTAATTTTTGTGCCTAAAGTCACTAATAGTCATTGTGACTATTAATGAACCAATCGGAATTCAGCAAGTAGCGAAATCTGATTGTTTCTTTTTATAGGTTGCAAATATATACTTGTTTACTGATATAGGGGTAAACACAATTTAGTGTACACACGTCTACTGACTATCTAGAAATTGGCGAAGTGGAGTGTGTATACATCGACTGACTAACTGTATCGTTCTACTACACCAATCTAAGGATTGGTGTAGTAGAACGTACATACATAGACGGAGGGTTTTGGCCTGGGCAGGCAATCTTTTGAATAAAAGATTGCTTTTTAAATTAAAAATCGGCAGCTGTATTTTTGCGCTGCGTAGACTAATTTAGTAATACAAAGCATCTTTTTCATAAGATTTAACTTAAACTAAGCTAAACAAAAACAAAACTTTCTAAACAAAAGTTTTACTAAAATAAAACGTCCACTAACTCAGCAATACAATCAATGGCGGATCCAGGTCACTGATTGGTCCTAATGGAGGATAGTCGGAACAACAACAAAAAAAGGGCCCTATTTTTTAGGTTAAACAACTATTTCATTTGATCATTTACAATGTTTATATATTGGCAAATATTTCATTTGATCATTTACAATGTTTATATATTGGCAAATATATAAACTCTAATTCGAACAAAAATGGAGAAAATAAAAAATCGAATTAGAGTGATTTTAGAATTACAGAAAGTTTTTTTCACATAAGGGTATTTCACGGTGACTTTGCATTTAATCGATTTATGGAGGTTTTCAAATTAAGGAGATTCGAATTAGAGAGATTATACGGTATATATATTAAATGTGTGTATAACTTTAAAACAGCATTATTTTAATTTTCCTTTTTTTTTTTTTTTATATTAATAAAAATATAAAGTTTGATAGTTCTTTGGGGGCTAATCCCCACCCCCTTCTTTGTATTCGCCAGTCAATACAATCATCATTGTATGCATGTCAATACATGCATCATTTTGTTAGGTGTACCGAATTTGAAAAAATAAGCAAACGTTAATACGAAGTTTTAATATTATAAATAAATAAAAAAGCACCTATATCATAATTTTAATTTTCAAAAAGGGCCTCCTTCAAATTTTGGCACGGCACTGTATATATATATATATATATATATATATATATATATATATATATATATATATATATATATATATATATATATATATATATATATATATATATATATATATATATATATATACTTGGCATAGAAGGAAAACAATACAGTATGCCTTTATAGCTACTTTAACTTTTTTTTTATTTCATTTTTTGCTAACTAACCACATCATAAACAATTCCTAATTTAAATAAAATTTTCGAGCTTTTTTCGAGGCAAAATAAGAAATTACTTCATCATATGACAATGATTTCGCGAGATCATTTTCAATAGACAACGCCATAAGATTTGAAAGTCGCTCTTGTCCCATGGTGGCTCTGAAGTGGTTTTTATAATCTTCAGTTTACTAAAAGATCTTTCACCCTCTGCAACGGATACTGGCATTGTGTGGAAGATGCGCTAAAGTATGCATATCGACGGGAAAGTTGGTTGTAAGCCTTTGGAATATATTTGATTTAAAAGATTGAGAGTTGCCTTTACTAAACAAGGACGATGCTTTCAACCGGTCAAAGTGGCAAATTTACTCAATAAGATCGTTTTCTTTAACGTATATATAACGTATATATAACGAATAGAATTTCGCAAGTTGACGAGCTTTGTCATCTTGTGAAGAAGGGTCTTCAGACTGAAGCCAGATAAAGGAAAACTGAGAAGAAACCTTTTCACCACATTGAACCTTGACTGAATTGGTAGAATTATGTGGTCCAATGCCACGTTGAAAATATTTACTTCAAAATTCTTTTCTGTATCGTCGTGGTAGTGGGCTGTATTTGATGGTCCCTCGTGGAATTTTTTCACTCTTCTTGTGCGTTTAACTTTAAATTCTGTTTCAAAGCCTAGATTTCCAGCCACTAGCTTTGCTTCAGTCAAAATACAATTCCACGACGAATGAATGCGACCTAGGTCATCTAGAAGTAGTTGAATGAGGATGACTTCTTCTTCAATGGTGATTGACTCCGACTGGAGACATCAACTAACATTATCAATATTTTGCAGTGTCTTATACCAAATGGTCAGAAGAACTACTGATTCAAATGACCTAAAATATTTGCCAAACGATTTCGTTTGATTCAACA